GCGCCAAGGCGGGGCGTGAAGCCCTCTCCCGGGGCATGGCAGCTGAGGGCGGCTGTAGCCGACTCCGCGGCGGGTGGAGGAGGAGACGCAGAAATGGTCCCTGGGGCGCAGCTCTGAGAGGCAGAGCGGTGACTACTCCTTCTGAGCCCGGGAAACGGTGACTGTTTTGATTCATAGAGTCTGCAGGCGACGAGGGAGGTAGTCAAGAGCAAGCTGGAAACCCAGGGGGGGAAGGTGGGGAATTCCCGTGGCTGGAGTGGCCGGCAGGTGTGACACTGCGCACCTGGCCGGGAGCCTGCTGAAGCGGGGTTCGCTTCTGGTCAAGCAACTGTCTCGGCACGCTGCCGCCGGGGCTGGGAGACCCACTGCGGGGATAAGCCGCCATCCTTGATACCCGTGTGTTGTGCAGGCAAAGCCCCTGAGCTCTCCTAGAGCCTGTGGAGCTGGGACAACAGTGCAGGCGCAGAGCTCCAGCCTGAGGAGATGGCTGCGAGATGCTGGAGTATGGCCGCAGGATGATGCTTCAAGCGCAGTCTAACAGCTGGCTGTCTCCAGTCCACGTATTAGACCGAATAGACTTTTTTGTCAATAAAGACAGGTGTTCAGATGTCTAAGTCTTTCATATAAGGCTGAATAAAGCCTCTTCAACAAAAACATTTGCAATTATTTCACACTTGAAGTATTTGTGTCCCTTTGGTTAGCTAGCAAGCTGTGTCAGAGACACAGCAGAGACAGAGAAGAAGATAGCAGACGGAGAAGTTTCTTGGGGCAGACTTTTTGCCAGACCTTTCTGAGTGAAACCCAGTACGAAATAACTTTCTCCTGCAAAATGGCCCTGAGCATTTTTTGTCAGCTTTGTTTATTCCTGCTTAGGTACCACTAGTGTTCCTCACTGGCTGAAAGGATTTGAGAAGCAGATTGACGCAGTGGAAATTCAGTCAAGCCAGGTGCACGTGCATGCAAGAGAGGTGATGAATCTTATGTTGCAGGGATAAACAAGGTCAGGATTCACAAAAGAGAACTGGGCACCACTGAGCCATGGGCGTGCCGGTCCTGTCACACTCTGCTTTAGCCTGGAGATGGTCCTATGGTTTGCTCTAGCCTGGACCAACTGCCACTGGCTGTTTCTGGGAGCATGGGGAGAGGGGGAAACCTGTATATTAGATTTTGCAATGGGTACTTGTTCTTGGAAACCTCTTCACATCTTCTGTTTTTCTTAATTTCATTGAATTTGAATGCCACTTAAGAGTTAGTAATCTCTATTGCCCCATTGAAAAGCTAGACGCTTTTTGTTGAGTAACACCCTCACTTCCTATAGAAGAAAGCAACTTGGATGGTGAGTATATCTCCAGCATGAATTCTGTGATTTGAGAGGGAAATTTACAGACATATTGGAGAACAACGTGCAAAAAGGGATCAAAGCTGTCTTACGATCAGTGCTGCAACCTAAGGATTAGCCAGCCACTTCAGGGAGCTGATCCACAATGCTGCAAGCAGCGGGTTTGTGTCTCCTTGAGGAAGAGGTTTTTATTTGTCAGGGATTCTTTTTTTTTGGGGGGCGGGGGCAAAAGAGAAAATGCCTGTAGACAGAGAACTCTAAGCCAGGGGTTCTCAAGATTTTATTAAAGAAGGACCCTCAATGGCCAGAGCATCTGGCAGCTGGCCTCATAAAAGCGTGTGCTGCCTTTATGTTCAGTAGATGTGACATTGAAAATGGACCTTGGGAAAGTTTACATGTAAAATCTCCCAGGGGTATATGGTCCTAAGGGTTAATAAAGTCTCTTTATTGTCTAACGATGTTTACCTGCTTCAAAATGGCTAACGGTGGGTTTCATCCTAAGGGATGCTAGACCACTGAAAGAGAGCAGTGCTTTTGCAAGTCTTAGATTATCGGCACTCTTGTGCTTTTGGACAGACCAAGAATTGAAAAGGAATTGCAATTTTTTTTTGGTAATATATGTTTCAGGGCTCTGCAAGCTGATTCTCAGTAGGTGGAAACAGGCAGCAGTGCAGAAAATAATCTCTTGCTGGTAAACTGAACAAATGTAAATGTAAATGTAGATGCGGAGTATAAAGGGATCCTGGCAAATGTAGACCTGGTACCTGTGATAGAAATGGCGGCAGAGCAGAGCAGAGCTGAACTCCATCCACGCAGGTATGCCATCTCTGACAGAAGCACAGTATCAGCAAATTAGTCTGTAGAAAGCAAACAGAATAGCTTTCTGTCCCTCCTGCAGTCTGTGTGTGAGCTAATAAGACTGAAGGGGGAATTATGTGATTCGGGCACAATATGGAGCTGCGTGACAGATTGCAGACAGATGTAAGCTTGCTTTGCCTGTGCTCCACACTGACTGAAGCTCAGCTAATATATTCTGTTTCTCCGTCAGGCTTATTGCATCAAGCTCAGCATTGTGCTGATAATGCAGTCACGTGGCTTCTGCATCCGAACGGGCTCGCTTCCTACCAGCTTGAGGCAAACTTGCGTCTCTCTTCAAAATATGATGTGGACATAACCTTGCAACAGGCCAGCAGTTCTCAGCCTGCATAACGTGGAGCTGGGACGTGCTCAAAGCAGGAGGGAAAGGATCAGAGGTTGTCTCAAACTCATTGAAGTAGAAGGGATTTGAAGATACGTGCTAGTGCATAGGCAGCCTGGAAGGGGTTACAGTGAGTGGGAGCAGATGGTAGCTTGACTGACAAGTGGAGATACTGAGCATCTAAGTATACTAAACTAACTGGGTCCTTGGAAGCAGAAAATTAAGCAGTGTATATTTCACATAGGCTTGTTACTATGGCCATTCCCTGACTAGCAGATTACCTCCGTGTGTGGCCGTCCCTCTTTATTCCTGTGATGTGTCCCCTACTTGTGATACAGAGCAACCGAGCAATTTGATTGCTGCTATGCTGATACAAATGCTTTGAGATCTTTCATTTGGACACAAGATGTCATTTTGTAATAAAAATGGAGATACTGATTGCTCCATAAATTATACTGATTATCAGTCAGAGCATAGCAGGGACCAGTGAGATGGCTAGAGAATGTCAGGAAGAATACACCTACTTCTGAGCAGGAGAAAATTTAACTTTTTTACAGTATTAGTCAATATTCCTATATGCACCCACAGTAAACTTTAAGTGCTTTTTGCTTTAAATTTGAAACTTCAGGTAGGAGCTCTTTGTTTTAAACTTTATTTTTTTTAAACTGAAATACAGAGCAAGATTCTAATGTTCTTTCAGGCTCTAAGTGCGTGCCTTGTTCCACTATAAGCCCCATTTGTTTTCTGTTTGGAAGAACTACCCATACAGCACAGCTACCACAATGGCAAAATATTGGGCAGACTCAAATTTCCCCTTTTCCTTAGCGGTACACACCATTCCTAAAAAATGCAAATGGATTTTTGCACATTGTCTTGTCCTAATATGTGAAGATATATTCTTTCCTGTACAATGGAGATGCTTTGCTAAGCTTAAGCAGATTTTATTCAGTGTCAAAATGTGTATGTCTGCTGCTTCCAGCTAATTTTCCAGAGAAAAGGATGTAATAAGTGCAAACATTTATAGTCCTAACAATTGATGGAAATGAAAACAGCAATTCTTGCTACAATAAAAGTGTGTGTGTGTGTAGAACCTAACCACCAGTGAGAATATTAAACTATTCACTTGAATTTGTATAGTAACAAAGATTGACATAATTTAACAATCATTTTATTTTTATAATGTGAATACAAAGTTGCAAATGTAGTTATTTCTGAGGCCCTATATTTAGTCTTGTCTTTAGTTTGCCATTTACTGCTTAAAATTAATACCTTCCATGCCTCATAAAGCTTGTACACAATTAAGATTTCTCCAGCACCTTCACTCATTGACCACAATCCCCCCACCCTTGTTTCCGCTGTGGCAGGACTGGCTCCTGTGCCTTTTGCTATGCTAAGATTTCTAGCGCGGAGATGCTGAATGTTTTCACCTGCAGGTGACACTTGTAACTTAATGTGTTGCTTAAACTAAAGGACCTTTTCAATGAATAAACGGTTATAGTCTGTCAGACTTCAGGCCCCTTCTGCATCCAGCTCTGGAGCCCTCAGCACAAGAAGGGCATGGACTTGTTGGAGCAGGTGCAGAGGAGAGTCACAAAAATGATCCGAGGGCTGGAGCACCTCTCCTGTGAGGACAGGCTGAGAGAGTTGGGGCTGTTCAGCCTGGAGAAGAGAAGGCCACAGGGAGACCTTACAGCAGCCTGCCAGTACCTGAAGGGGGCCTATAGGAAAGCAGGGGAAAATATTTTCAGGAAGGCCTGTTGTGATAGGACAAGGAGTAATGGCTTTAAACTAAGGGAGGGTAGATTTAGACTAGATATAAGGAAGAAATTTTTTACAATGCGGGTGGTGAAACACTGGAACTGGTTGCCCAGAGAAGTGGTAGATGTCCCATCCCTGGAAACATTCAAGGTCAGGCTGGTCAGGGCTCTGTGCAACCTGGTCTAGTTAAAGATGTCCCTGCTCACTGCAGGGGGGTTGGTCTAGATGACATCTCTAGGTCCCTTCCAACCCAAAGCATTCTATGATTCTGTGGAGTTCACACAGGTGTTTTGGAACCAAGGAGAGCATCTGATTAGAATAACTCTTGGGTGCTCTGCCAGGTTGCTTATTGCATTAAGCTTGTTTCTTATTTCAATCTTTATGAAACTCTTGAAGATAAAGATCTTGCTTGAGATAACTTCTCAGAAAACCCAAAAGGACTTCTGAAGACTGTGATGATTTTGCATATGATTTCTAAAGAAAAACTTGCTTTTCATTTTTTTTTAAATTTCCTCAAGCCTCTGTTGTGGTGTCTCAGGCATAGTAGTGCGAATTTATGGTTTCAAGACTTCAAAACCACAGTGTAATTAGCAGTGTTTACCAACCAGCTGAACAAGTCACTTGCCATGTGAATACTGGAATGATTGTTTTTCCACTTAGGAGAAGGAGTGAAGGGTCTGTAGTTTAGTTGCACAGAATTTTTATCAGCCAGTAAATGGAAAGACAGCCTCATGTGTTGCAGCAAAGCAGACTGCAGCAGCGATGTTTCGCTGTGCTGAAGATGTGCTCCTGCTTCTCCCTAGGAAGTTGCCACCTGCAGCCAGTTGCCTTTCTGAGTGGTAAGAGAGGGATGTTCTAAAGAAACACTTCTCAACTTCTAATAATCTTCTATCAAGACCACTGTAAAGCAGTGGATTTATCCCCTGTTACTTCAGTTAAGTACTCCGCTCCCTCCCCAGTGGATACTCCAGTGTTTAGCTACCATTAACCGTTAGAAAGGTTTTCCTGAAGGTCGTCTTAAATCTCTCATGCTGTAGCATATCCCATTACATTTTCCCCCTGTCTTCAGTTACATGGAAATTATTTCATT